GTCTCCCCAGCCTGCAGCCGGCTGATGTGCCGATCCAGGAGAGCCGTGAGGTGCGCAGAGCCGCGCTGGAGCAGGGAGGACGTCTGGGAGGGCAGGAGGGCCAGAGCACCCACCGTCTGGCCCTGGGTGGCCTCCAGCGAGGGCAGCTTGGCGAAGTTCTCCACTCCCTGCCTGCTCAGGATGGTGTCATCGATGCAGGCGCCTGGAAGAAAGGAGCAGACCTGAGCGCAGGAGACGGGTGCCAGAGCGCCTTCGTCTTCCGCAGGCGCACGAGGAAAGGCTTGCTCTGGCAGGCAGGACTCCCACCCCTCACCATCCATCCCCTCATTCTAATGGACACAACAGCGATCCCGCAGACACGACTCCGTTAGCGTGGACCCTGAGGAGGGAGCGCTGGATGAAAGCCCTGAGCCCGGTGCCAGCCGATGGGGATGCAGGGGAGGCTCTCACCCAGGAGGTTGATCTGCGGCACTCCCTTCAGCACCCGCAGCATCTCCTTCACCTTCGTTTCCCGGCTCACCAGCAGGATATTGCGCGCCACGAAGAGAGGGAGGAGATTCTTGTACTTGGACTGGGACAGCACGGGTCGGATAATCTGACAAAGACAGCTGTCAAAATGCAGTGGGGGAGCACAGAGGCCGCTTTTCACCCCAGCGGGCACCACGCAGTCGTCCCACCTCTCCTCCACCTTCCCCTCACAACCACACTGGGATCTGCCCCGGCAGCTCTTGCTCTACCTCATTCAGGACGAACTTGACCTCGATGTTGTGCTTCCGGAGGTAGTGCCTCATCAGCACCACGTCCTCACCGGGCATGGAGTTGAACTGACAGACGGCAATCATCCGATTGTCCCGGAACACCCACGCAGTCGTCCCACCTCTCCTCCACCTTCCCCTCACAACCACACTGGGATCTGCCCCGGCAGCTCTTGCTCTACCTCATTCAGGACGAACTTGACCTCGATGTTGTGCTTCCGGAGGTAGTGCCTCATCAGCACCACGTCCTCACCGGGCATGGAGTTGAACTGACAGACGGCAATCATCCGATTGTCCCGGAACACCTCCCGGACCCACTGCCCTGGGACGCCGCCATGGATTGGGACTCACCTGGTTTCCAGCACTTGGGATTACGAGCTGGGGCATCTCCCAGCCACCCACAAGGCGATGAGAGAGGCAGTAACCACCCCGGGCAGCTCTCCTACAGGTGCCCAGCCCGGCTGACCCCGGGGCAGGGCTGTCCCGGGGGTCTGTACCACACCCGGTGGGGGCTGTCAAATCCTCCCGTCAAATCCCCAGAGCAAAGCGCACACGCACTGGGTGTGCAAAGCCGCTCGGTGTCCTCGGGC